GTCCTCCAGAAGTTTTAAATTTTGATGAAGTCCAGTTTATCTTTTTTTCTTTTGTTTCTTGCCATTTTGGTCTCGTTTAGGAAGACTTTGCCTAACTTAAGGTCATAAAGTTGGCTGGCATGTTCCCTCCAGTAGGAGCTTTGTAGTTCCTGCTCCAGCAGTTGGATGTATGATACACAGGGAGGTGCTGTGTGTGTACGGTGGAAGGAGGGAGTCCTCCTCCCCCTTCTGTAGCTTCTGGAGATCCAGTTGTCCCCCCTCACCAGTTGCTAAACATTATATGCTAGTGTTTTGCCAACTCTATTAATAATTCATACTTCTGTATTAACTTAATATAGTTTTGTTTTCTTCCTTTTTAAGGGAAATTTCAAATATGTTTCAACTTCCCGTGGAAAATCTTGACAACATCCGAAAGGTACGGAAAAAGGTGAAAAGCATTCTTTTGGATATCGGACTTGACAGCTGCAAGGAGTTACTTAAGGTAAGACCCAAGTTGCTTATGAGGGAGGTGCTAATAGCTGGCCAGGCAAGGCCTTGTGAAGGTGAGGTTGGAGCTGGGAATTTGGAATAATCGTGTGAGATTTTTCAGGGTGGATATTGCTAATACTTCAAATGGTTGTGTAAAAGTATCATTCGATGTCATTGATGGCTTTCTAATGGAAAGTGATTTAAGCTGGTTAAAAGTTTTGTTACTTTTAGGAGAGATTTGTGATCATGTATTATTAAAAAAAACCCACCCATTTCTTAATATTTGAGGGTAATTCTGATATTAGCACAAGAAGGCCTTTACTTAATATCCCAGTGTTGTAATCAATAAGTGTGGGTGCCGACATGGTATTCCCTCATGAACATAAGCTGACTGCCCCTTGAGTTTTTTGTCTAGTGTTTTAAGTTGCGATTGCCAATTTGATCTCTAGAGAGATCTTAAAAGAGTGTGAGGCAGACATTTCTTATTACTTAAGCTAAATTAGTGTTTGGTTTTAAGAAGTCTTTGGGGGAATAGTTTTAGACTCAAGGTTTAAAGATTATGTCAGGGCGGTAGTTTCAGGGGGTTCAGTCAGTGTCCATGCACTCACAAAGTCTGACTGCTGTGAGACTTAGAGATGCTATTGTCTTTGCCCTTTCTATGAAACATTCTTCTGTTTGTTCAATAATGGTAGCTGAGTACCAGCCATTTCTTCTAGTCTAGCAAAGGGTACGGTGAAGCACACGTGCCATTCCTTTTCTCCTCCTCCTGACGCTACTTCCTCAGTCATTCCAGGGACATAGAGACCACTTGTGCTGGATACTTAATTCTGAATTTCTTTGTATAAAGGCTTAAGAAAAAGTTAAAAGCTAAAGTCACAGATTTGTATTTTCATAAAATTTTCTTACAACACTGAAAATACAGTTGACAGACATAAAAAGTAACACTAGTTTTCTGTGTCCTCATGAAAAAACAAGACCCACTTGCCATCAAGTTGATTCTAACAGTGACATGTGATAGGTTTTCTGAGGCTGTAAATCTTGATGGGAACACACAGCCTCAGCTCTGCCCGGCAGAGAAGGTGCCAGTCTTGTAGTTAGTAGCAGTGCAACACTTAGTAATTCTCTGTATATCTTATTCATAATGATAGAAGTAGTGAAAATGCCTGCTTTGTGTGATAATTTTTTTTAAAGTTATGAAGAATTTGATTCAAAATATTATTAGTCTGGGAAGAACTGAGGTTCTCCTCATAAAAAAATCTCAGGCTTTCAGTGAGACTTCCATTTATAAAAGGCATTCTGATAAAGACAGACTCTAATGAGCATGGTGCTCACTAGCTGTAGTGTGACTTCTGAGGGCCTGAGAAGTCTCCATTTGGACAGGGCCATCGCAGAGCAATGTTCATTCTAACATGATGCCCTCTCCCACTACACCCTTTGTTCTGCCGGCTCCGTTTTTCTTCTGCCTGGAAAACCTGCTCCAGGGTAAGCTGGCAAGGGTCTCAGTGCTCTATTATCTGCTGTAGCAGCGTCAGATAGGGTCTGACAGAGATACTGAGCAAACGAGGACAAGGAAGCAGAACCCAAGCAGGGGAGAACTGTATCCCCTTCAACGCTATGTATTTTGCTGATGTTGAGCATAAACAGAGGAAACCATACTCCAAATCCGTACTTCCTACATTGTACAGTTAATTGATGCTACTCTGAGTTGTGCAACCATCTCACCTTCTTTTTCTGAGTTGTTGAATCTTCTCTGTTAACATAAACTCATGGCTCTAAGGTTCCAATATAACTTTTTGAGTTGCTTTTGTCAGTTTGATGCCATATAGATAGTTCTTCGGGTCCCTGATGTATCAATGGGTTAAGCATTGGATCGTTAGCCAAAGTATTGGCAGGTCAAGCCCACTAGCTACTCCTTGGGAGAAGGATGAGGCAGTCAACCTGCTTCTGAAAAGATTTGCAGTCTCGGGAGCCCTATGGAGCAGTTAGTTCTACCCTGTCTGGAGGGACTCTGAGTTGACATCAACTTGTCAGCAGTGGATTAGAGAGTTCTTCAAAGAGCATGATAGTCAAGGTAGACCTTTTCACTAGTTAAACTATTGTTTGGTTTTAAGAAAGGCTTCCGGAAGTATTTTCTGTTTAGGGTGTGAAGATTATCGGGGGTGGTAGTTTCAAGGGTCTTTCCAGCCTGCATGGCTCCAGAAAGTTGTGAGTCCACGAGACTGTGAAATAGTGTTTGTGCACCCCGTCCTTGGGATCAGGAGGACCCTCTGTGGACTTTGTGCTCAGAATGTTCAGTAGTAGTAGCCAGACACCAACCAGTTCTGTGCTCTCACAGCAAAGGTGGCAGTTGCTCATGGAGCTGATTGACCCCACATTCTGTCTCCACGTCCTGTTTCTATCTGGCTCACTCCTCTGTGGTCCCAGGTGCATAGACGCAAATTATTGTGCCTCAGATGGTCATTTGCAAGCTTTTAAGACCGTTGGCACTAGGCACTGAACTAGGAGATTGAACTCAAACACTGAACATGTTACTAGGACAACTAACAGGGATGTCCTATGAAACTGTAACTCTAACCCTCCAAACCGAAGAACCACATCCCATGAGGTGTTAACTTGGTCATGCACCACGGGGAAGGACTTTGCTAGCAGGGTGTGACTACACCTATATCTGGAAGTGTAAGGAGACAACAGGTGCTGACATGGCAGCTCTTGTGACTCAAGAACAGCCTTGAAGTCGGCTTTGGTCTGAAGTCATTCATACTTCACTCACGAAAGAAGAATGGCATCATTATTTGGAGACTAGATTGGTAATAGAATGTTTGTCAAGTAGATGCAGGTAGACAAACAGTTCATTTAGAGTAGATTAATATGCTAAATTAAGTAATATGAGGGGTCTTCAAAGTGGGCAAATGGAATTAAAAAATCATTTAAAATTTCATGAGTTTTTCGATGCCTCCTTGTATTTGCAGGGCATGTGAAAATGAGTCCCTAAGAACACAGGTGTAGATGTATAGATGGGTATATTCTTTGTGGCCTTTCATTTTAAGCCTTGCTCTTAGCTAATAGTGTGACCACGGACAAATCCGTGAGTCTGGATGTTTTCATCTTTACAGTGAAGGATATGATAGAGAATTATGATAAGGTACTCCCCACTTAAGGAGAAGCAGTAACAACGAAGTCACCAGGACTGTCGCTAGTGAGGGAAGCTCATGTGGCGGCACCTTTGTGGATGAGATGGCATGTTTTTGTCTTTAATGGGTAAGATGCACCAGTGGGAAGGACTAGAGAGTATTTCAGGATCATGGAATTAAACCAAGACCCAGTTAATTTACCTACATCAAACCAGACTAACAAGTTAAAAACAAAAACAATGTGGCTGGTGGGCTCAAGGCACTGACCTTTTGAAAACCACCCAGGAACCTTAGCCAATGCACCACCAAGACTTCTTGGAAACCATCACACAAACTTAGACTAGTCACACAAGGCAATGCCTTGGATACTTCTGTGTGTGCTTTCCAAAAATAAAGTAGTGCTTCCTTCTCTTGGCAACAGTGTATTACTGTAATACATTAAACTTAGGATATTTTTATCTAATTTGCCAGTCATATTCCAGCTTTGTTAGTTGATTCATTAGGGCCATTTATAGCATTTTTCCCTGTCAGTATTACAGAGCCAAATTGTCACATACCTTCAGTTCCCTTTTATGTGAATTCTGTTTCGAAAAGTAGAATATGGTTACGAAGTTTGGTTTTGTTTTTAGATAAAACGTCAACGATGAGTTAACTACGATGTCTCGTTAGTTCTTGTTCACCAGTGCAGGAGAACATTGGTCATGACCTTCATATTGTGCTTTGTCGTCAGCATAAAACTATAGTCACCTGAATTTGTTCAAGATGATGTTACTGTTTTTGTGTGATGATGCTGACAGAACTAGGAGGGCGAGTTCAGAAAGTATTGCTATGAGGGTTCCAGTTTATACAGACAGGGGTTTATTACAAGCAAACGTGTTGAAGCACATCTCTGTGTTCATTGGGTGGCTGGAGACTTGTCTTAGCCTTGTGTGGGTGACTTTAAATAAAAGTCCAATCAAAAAGTGGCTTCTGAGAGGAGCTGCAAAGCAGAGTGACCAGTCAGCTTAGAAAGTTATGCAGACTGCTTGGGCGGCGGCTCTGCAAAGGGTCATCTTGACGGGTTTTCTTATAGAGCCTAGAGTAATAACAGGGGCTTGTTGAGAAGAACCTTATTGAAAATTGAAAACCGCATTAGTGAGACAAAGGTCAGTAAATTTGTCCCAAGTAATTATTTTCCTTCAAGACAGTATACCTCCTCATTCTTTGAGGGTAGCAAGGACTGTCCTTTGAGAATTTCCTTGGGAAACTTTATCCTATCCACCACAGAAGGGGAATCCCTCAACATAATAAAGGCCATATATATATATGTCTATAGAACCAACAACCAGCATCTCACTCAGTGGGGAGAAACTGAACATTCCCTTGGTGAAATGAACGCAGACAAGGATGTTCTTGATTACAGCGCTTATTCAGTATTGTGCTTAGCCAGAGCTGTTAGACAACAAAAAGAAATAAAGGCTTCCAGATTGGTAAAGAAGTAAATGATCTGATTACAGATGATACAATTCTATACATAAAAAAACCCCAAAGATTTTACAAGAAAATTGTTGGAAATAATTGAAAGCTTCAGCAATGTAGCAGGGTAACATACAAAAATTAAACTGATTTCAATATACAAACAAATCTCCGAAAAGGAAATCACAAAAGCCATTGTGTTAGGCCGTGTTAACTAGAGAAGTCCAGTGACACATAAATGTATAAGAAAGAGCTTTCTTTATATCAAGAAGAAATTATATTTTGAAAAAACATCCCAGTCCAGTCCAACTCTCGTTCATAAGTCTGATACTAGTCCTTAAGCCCCTCTTCAGACTCACATAGCCACATGCAGTGATGCAGAATGCACCTACAGGTTGATGGGTGCAAAGTCGAGTGGATCCAATGG